TTTAAATTAATTAATTATTATTATAATTAAAATCAATTAATATATAATAATATATTAACATTTAATTAATAATAATAATTCATTTAAATATATGCATACATATATTTAAATATAATTTCACTAATTTAACTTTACTATCAAATTAAATACAGGCAACAACCTCAAAAAATTTAATTGCACTACAAGATTACCAAAATACCCATTCGTCTTGAAAGACAAAAATACCCTTCTCACAAATTGATTCTTAAATTATCTTTTAAGTGTGTGACCCGTAGGCTCCTCATCATATCGACAGTGTGTAGTATCGCGATTAACACCAATTAATCGTCTCACTACACATAGACCAAGATTGGCCCCTAGCAAGGCATCATGGCCACCCGATAGATTCAGATTCAGCAAAATTGTAGCCTATCTATAGTATGGTTACCGTGCAATCAAATCATTTCATCAACTGTTATCTCATCGAGACTGAGGTACAGAAATAGTGTCAACCTCAGATATCCTCCACATGTTTGTATTCAGTTACTGGACCAATGACAGGAATATCAAATTGGTCTCACTGTGGCCACATATTTAGTGTCATTGCCATTTACTGAATTACTCATTGAGATAACTTCTCTCATACCCAGGAGTGATGAATCCTTTTGTCGATCCACCATACTCTCGATACACTTCTCAGTATAGTCAATCACTATTGTATTGATAGCTCTGAATAGAACTACGTTGGGCTAGTATCAAACTACACCAATCGGTGTACAAGGCGCTCTGGTGATCTCAAGTCTAAGGATCACATGCACCACCATCCGTTAGAGAATTTATTCCATAGACACTGGGGTTACCATCCATATGGAATCCTCTGGTGGGTCTATCTAGTGAACTTGCCTCTAGCAAGCACCCATGCATTGCACCATGTTGTCGGCAAACAACCTTAACAAGTGAGATCAGTCACTGCCTTTCGACAGGGTCATTCAACACTATGATAGCCTTACCATATCATCTAAAGCAAAAACATATTCATGTCCAAACCAAGCCATTTTTCACCAAAAATGCTACATGCATGCTTGAATTTAACATGCTCTGATACCATTGTTGGGATTCATTTATTTTGGACATGGAAATGGAGAGAAAATGATGATCAATATGATGGACATAAGGTAGAAAGCAAACCATTATAACATTAACATATTAATGTAAGAAAATGATAGAAAATTATGAACTCCTTTTGGTATTAAAAGCTTGATGTTGAAACTTGGAGTCTAGATTCTTCAAAAGAGAATGAAGAAACTCAAAATGAAGTCCACCCAAGCCAAAGATGAGAGAGCTGAGAGAGTGAGAGATTTCCCTTTTCCAATGTTTATTTACGTTCGTCTGGGAACTCGAGATTGGACTATTTTGAGTTAATAGATCCCATCTTAACCATCACTTGTCCTCGCACATGAATAACATATGACCAAACCGGCTTATTACACAAGACATGACTAGTCTCGTGGTTATACACCATATGAACCATATGCATCCTATGTTGAATCTAACCGTGATGTCTCAAGTCTAAGGATCAGTGGTACACTAGCACGATCCTACAATGCATCATTTACCATATCCATGTGATTCATCGTAATCAGTCGTATTCGATAAACAGTTCACTAACCGTTTATCCATGCTAATGCCTTAGTGACATACCTCTTATAATCACCCACACTAATACCATCACATGATATTCAATGGAGACATTAAACATGCCTACTATGCAATATTATCGCCCAATTAACATTACTTGCGTAGGAAATTCTTTGATGATTTGATCTTCTGAAGATCTGTGTCATCCGGACATTTCACATGCAATATTAAATATAATATAATATAATATAATATAAATGAAGCAGAAAATCAACATGTGAAATAAGAACACTTTCTTTTATTCATAAGACATTTACAAGATATAATGTCCTGAAACCGACAACACGATTGGTTCCTACGGCATACAATAACAAAACTCCCACTTGCACTAGAGCCAATCGCTATGGTATCTAATACCCATCTTCTCAAGATGATAGTCCAACTGTTTTTGTGTCATCGCTTTAGTGAGTGGGTTAGCTACATTCTCTGCTGAAGGTGTTTTTTGCACCAAAATTTCTCCAGCTCCAACGAATTCTCTCAAAATGTGATATTTACGCTGAATATGTTTTGACTTTTGGTGTGCTCTTGGCTCCTTTGCCTATGCAATAGCACCAGTATTGTCACAGTACAAGGTTATCGGATAAACCATGTTTGGAACCACACTAAGTTCAGTCATGGACTTGGGCATTCAAACAGCTTCCTTTGCTGCTTCTGAAGCGATAATGTATTTAGCTTCAGTTTTGGAATCGGCAGTAGTTGATTGTTTAGAACTCTTCCAATTGACTGCTCCTCCATTGCATATGAAAATGAACCCGGATGTAGACTTTCTATCATCCATATCTGATTGAAAATCAGAATCAAAGTATCCTTCAATTTTCAACTCTAAACCTCCATAACTTAGTATTAGATACTTAGTTCTTCTTAAGTACTTAAGGATCGTCTTAACAGCTGACCAGTATTTTTCCCCTGGGTCGGACTGATATCTGCTTGTAACACTCACAACATATGCAATATCAAGCCTCGTACATAGCATAACGTACGTGAGACTACCTATGGTTGAAGCATAGGGTATTCCATGCATCAGCTCACGCTCCTGATTAGTCTTTGGACTCATATCTTTTGAAAGATGAATTCCGTGACTGCAAGGCAAAATTCCCCTTTTGGAGTCTTACATGCTGAACTATTTCAGCATCTTTTCTATGTACATCTTCTGGGATAAGCCTATTAATCCTTTCGTTCTATCTCTATAGATACGAATTCCTAGGATGTAGGTCGCGTCTTTTAGTCTTTCATGGAGAAAGTTCCGGATAACCACAGCTTAACGTTAGTCATCATCCCAATGTCATTTCCATTAATAGTATGCCATCTACATATAGTATGAGAAATATGATTGCATGATCCTTTGTCTATTTATAAACACAAGGTTCATCCGGATTCTTTATAAAACCAAACGTTTTTATTATTTCATTAAACCGAATGTTCCAGCTTTTTGAAGCTTGTTTTAACCCGTAAATGGATTTATGCAGCTTGCACACTTTATTTCTTTCAGAACTGGATACAAAACCTATAGGTTGTTGCATGTAGATATTTTCCTCAATAAATTCATTAAGGAATGCTGTTTTGACATCCATTTGCCATATCTCATAATCATAGTGTGCAGCTATGGCTAGCATAATTGTGATTGATTTAAGCATAGCAACTGGTGAGAAAGTTTCCTCATAATCCAACCCTTGTTTTTTAGTATAACCTTTCGCAACCAGTCTTGCTTTGTAGGTCTCTACATTTCCATCTTTGCCAATCTTTCTCTTAAAGATCCATTTACATCCAATAGGAACTATTCCTTCTGGAGGATCAACGAGAGTCCATACTTGATTAGCATGCATGGATTCTATCTCAGAATTCATAGCTTCTAGCTATTTTTCAGAATCGATATCTAATATCGCTTCTTCATAACTTCTAGGATCATCCCCATGACTGACTTCTCGAATCATGATTGATTCAAAAATCTCTTCATGAAGTAACCCATATCTTTCTGGAGGTCGAGATACTTTAGATGATTTACGAATCGAAACCGTTTCAGGTATTAATGTTTCCTGAAAGGCACCACCCATTTGAGTATTTTCGATCCGAGGCTCCTCGGACTCTTCCTGGAGCACAATTTTTCTTCCCACACCACTCTCTTCTAAGAACTCTTTCTAAAGAAAGTGTGCATTCCTACTGATCGAAATTCATTGATCAGTGTGGAAGTAAAAATAATATCCCAAATTATTTTTGGGATACCCTATAAACCGACCTTTCTCAAATTTAACGTCCAATTTGTCTGTCTTGACAATCTTGACATAAGCTAGGCAACCCCAAATTCTCATATATTTGAGACTGGGAGGTTTACCATACTACGTTTCATATGGTGTCATCTCAATAGATTTAGATGGTACCTTATTCAGAATATGCACAGCGGATTCAAGGGCAAATCCCCATAATGACATTGGCAAGTCCGTAAAACTTACCATCGATTGTACCATATCCAATAAAGTATGGTTCCTCCTTTCAGACACACTGTTATGTTGCGGCGTATACGGAGGAGTCAACTGGGATATTATACCATTCTCCTTTAGAAAATCTCAAAATTATGTACTTAAGTATTCACCACCACGATTTGATCGCAAAGGCTTAATACTCTTTTCAGCCTGTTTCTCTACTTCATTCTTAAACTCTTTGAACTTTTCAAAGGATTCAGAGTTGTATTTCATTAAATACAAATACCCGTACCTAGAATAATCATCGGTAAAAGTAATGAAGTATTGAAAACCTCCTCGAGCCATTTCATTAAATGGCCCGCATACATCTGAGTGTACAACCTCTAATAATTCTTTGGATCTTTCCCTTTTACCCTTAAAAGATGATTTGGTCATTTTTCCTTGAAGACAGGATTCACAAGTTGGATAGGGTTCTAAACCTAATGGGCTTAAAAGCCTATTTGCTTCTAACAAGATTATCCTTTTATCTCCTATATGACCTAATCGATGATGCCAAAGTAATTTTGGATTAATTTCATTTCGAGATCTCTTATTTGTAATGGTATTCATTATGTCATAATCATTCATTACCAAAACATACAAACCATTTGTATTAATTGCTTTGCCAACTAATTCATTTCCAAAATAAATTAGACATTCATTTCCATTAAACTATATTTTGTAACCAGATTTACATAAAACAGAAATAGAAACGAGATTTCTAGTTGCTTTGGCAAAATACAAAGTTCTGTACAAATACAAAATGTGTCCTGATGGCAATGTCAAATGGCAAGTCCCTAGTGCCTCAGCCGCAACTTTTGCTCCATTTACCATCTTCAAAATTACTTCACCTTTAACAGTGCAAAACTATTCCACAGTGTCTGCAATGAAACACAAATGTGAGATGTAGCAGCTGAATCTAATATCCAGAAATGATCATTTGAACTAACATTTGATTCAAATTCTATAACATAAGAATGGAACATACCTGCTGGAGCTTTCTTCAAGCTCTTCATATAAAGATGACAATTCCTCTTCCAATGTCCATCTTTCTTGCAGTGGAAACATTGGCCTTTATCATTGACCTTTTCTTTGCCCTTCTCAATCTTAGAAGCATCCTTCTTAAAATGCCTTTTTCGTGGTCCAACTTTTGGACCTTTCTTTTCCTTCCATTGCTTCTTCTTAGTCTTACTAGAAGAAGCTGCAAAAACATCCTCTTGCCCCTTTTCCTTTCTTCCCTGCTTATAGAACTGTTGAATCTCATTCGAGAGTTCTACAAGAGTGTGCTCAATCCTATTGAGATTATAATTTTTGATGAAGGGCTTGAAACTTGGTGGAAGGGATTGTAGAATCAAATTCACCTCAAGACTGTGTGGCATCACAATCTCAAGTGTACGCAATTGCCCTATAATATTACTCATTTTCATAACATGATCATTTGGGGCAACTCCCTCCCTAAGCCTTATTGTGAATAGTGTCAAACACAATTCGTATTGCTTCACCACTGAGTTCTCACCATACAACTCTTGTAAATGGATTATCTCATTCGCACTTTCCATCTTTTCATGCTCAACCTGGAGCTCAGCATTCATTGATGCTAGCATGTAGGTTCAAGTTCGTAAGTCATCCTCCTGCCACTTATCGAAAACTTCATTTTCTTGCGGTCTGGCATCAGGAGACAAAGAATGTGGAAGGGGAGCTTCCAAGACATAATCGGCCTTTTCAGAATTAAGAATAATTCTCAAATTCCTTAACCAATTATTAAAATTAGGTCTGATCAGCATGTTATTATCGAGAATCCTCAAAAGCAAGTTATTGCTCATTTTCGTTAACTAAATATCACAAAATACCGAAAGAGACTGCAAGGAAAAATATAAGTTTTATTAGTGTCTTGTAAATTCAAACCCTTTAATGCTAATCTTATTAGCTCCTACTATTTTATTCAAATCCCATACTGCCCTAAATGATGATTTGGAAATTTTGTTGGAATAAATTTCTTGTGGGGAATCAAATTCTTATTAAATTTAATTAAACGTCACATAATACAAATCTTGGTCAATTAAATTTAACAAGTAGGAAACTATTTCCTTTTATATCACTATATAAGGTATGATTCAATAGTTTTGGATACCTCACATAATAGAAATCTTGGTACCCTAGAGTAGTTAAATCCAACCCATTATGCTTTCTTAAAATAGAATTCCCATTATACCCTCAGATAATAGAAATCTTGGGTACTATGAAAATTTATATCCAAGAACTAAGACAATTAATTCCATGTCATAAAATTAGCATCCCTCACATAATAAAAATCTTGGGATCTCTAATTTTATGCCAAAGAATTAATTGGCCCATAATGGAAGGCTTGGATCTAATATTGTTTGTTAGGGAGATTATTAGGTTTAACCTTTGATTAAAAAATGTTTTACATTTATCACATACATTAATTCAAATGCATCCATATAAATATAAAACATGGTGGGATGATCATGGCGTTTTAGAAAATGAATCCTAATTAGGTAAACTATTCACCTAATTCTATTACTCCTTGCGGATCTTCATCCGGTGATTGATCGGATCTCCATCCTCCGTCCGATCGTACGATTACATAAACCAATTTAGGACACGTAGGCCCGGATAACAAACTAATAATAAAATTAATTATTATTACAAGCCATTGAAAGAATAATTACATGCCCAAATATCAAATATTTTTGGGAAAAATAAATATACACCTATGATCATCCCCTAATTAATATTCATCCATCACATTAATAAATATTAATTCAATCAAGGGTATATAAATAAATATTTATGCAAGTTGCAATATTTATAAATAAAGGACTTCATGCAATAAATGTATAAAATATGTCATGATTAAACCAAGGGTACATGCATAATTTCATCACCATAATATTTATAAAAAATATTATATTACCCATCACATTAAAAAATCTCTCACATCACATTCAATCAAATAAAATTAAAAAATGCAAATCTATGCATCATGCACCGATTTTTACTCAAAGATGAATCAACCAACTTGCATTCACAATACAATCTAAGTCAAATGCATTTATAGACTATCGTATCACATATAACACTTTCAAATATGCATTTAAAATATATTATTCATTTGAATCAGTTTTGACCGAATTCAACCCTTTCTCAAAATCATCAAATTTGCATCAAATATGCTTATATTACACATGCATGTATCATATGAATGAGACATATTCATATTTAACAAAAATGCATCAAGATGCAATAAATCAAACATGCATGTTACATATGACTTCAAGAACAAGAAATTTTGTATTCAAAATATCAAAATTTCATATAAGCATGTTAATAAGCATGAATATCACATATCCATCATCATTTGTATTCAAAATACACAATAACTTCAACATGCATCTAAAGCAAAAACATATTCATGTCCAAACCAAGCCATTTTTCACCAAAAATGCTACATGCATGCATGAATTTAAACATGCTCTGATACCATTGTTGGGATTCATGCATTTTGGGCATGGAAATGGAAAGAAAATGATGATCAATATAATGGACATAAAGTAGAAAACAAACCATTATAACATTAACATATTAATGTAAGAAAATGATAGAAAATTACGAACTCCTTTTGCTATTAAAAGCTTAATGTTGAAACTTGGAGTCTAGGTTCTTCAAAAGAGAATGAAGAAACTCAAAATGAAGTCCACCCAAGCCAAAGATGAGAGAGCCGAGAGAGTGAGAGCGAAAGTGAGAGATTGCTTTTTGTTTCAATTGATTCAATTGAATTAAAATGGTATAAAACTTAATTTATATACCATAGGCACAAAGTGTAATTTTAAATTGTTTTGGGAAGGCCTCAAACAATTTAAAATTAACTTGAGAATAAACATTTATGTCAAATCCTTGGTTTTATGGTTAATTCATAATTAGACCAAATTTTAATTCCATTAAATATTCTAACCCTTTAGAATAAAACCAATGCACTTTTTCCCCAATCATTGAATCCAATTCAATAATAATATTTAATAAATCCTTATTACCCTTGGTTAGTGCTAACTTTCCATGGATAATCATTTCTCACCAATACATTAATTCGGATGCAACCGTTTACGTCCGAATATCATTAATCTGATTAATGATATGTATTACTCTCTCTCCTTGAGCTTGGTTTTATGTGTGACCATTTTGGTTCACTGTGATCTAGTTGTTGGCCCAATATCTGATTTTGATATGTTTCGTTATAATTTTTTATAATCGAAACTCCCACTAATTATGGTAGACGTCTAGTAATGTTCCATAACCCTTAAACCACAATGAAGTGTGAACTCCAATGAACCTATTTTGATCGTACGTACCGTGTAGTCAAATCCCTCTGTTATCTAATCCCGATTAAGAATGGTTCATGGTATGTCAAAACCTTTAACTTAATCTTTAATCGAACTGTCAATCTATACAATGGAACTCGTCAACATGAAACTACTTTTCATCTGACATTCATTATACTCTGGCCAGAGATTTCCCTTTTCTAATGTTTATTGACATTCGTCTGGGAACTCGAGATTGGACTATTTTGAGTTAACGGATTCCATCTTGACCATCACTTGTCCTCACACATGAATAACATATGACCAAACCGGCTTATTACACAAGACATGACTAGTCTCATGCTTATACACTATATGAACCATATGCATCTTATGTTGAATCCAACCGTGATGTCTCAGGTCTAAGGATCAGTGGTACACTAGCATGATCCTACGATGCATCATTGACCATATCCATGTGATTCATCGTAATCGGTCGTATTCGATAAATAGTTCACTAACCGTTTATCCATGCTAATGCCTTAGTGACATACCTCTTATAATCACCCACACTAATATCATCACATGATATTCAATGGAGACATTCAACATGCCTACTATGCAATGTTATTGCCCAATTAACATTACCTGTGTAGGGAATTCTTTGATGATTTGATCTTCTAAAGATCCGTGTCATCCGGACATTTCACATGCAATATTAAATATAATATAATATAATATAAATGAAGCAGAAAATCAACATGTGAAATAAGAACACTTTCTTTTATTCATAATACGTTTACAAGATATAATGTCCTGAAACCGACAACACGATTGGTTCCTAGGGCATACACTAACACTTAAAAGGTTAAACGGCTTCGAAGTACCACGAGCTTGGAATGTTGAACATCTTCGCCCCTATTATCAGTAATTTTGAACTCCCTTACAGCTTTGATTTTTTCTTTGAACTTGTAAAATTGTCCTTCTTGTAAGTATCATGAATAAGATTGTTCCGCTTCTTCTCGAAGAAAAACTTGTGTTGTGATCTCAAGTCTTTTCGTTAATAATCTTGTTCTTTTTAACATTTTGCAAGTTCATTGGTCAGATAAGTTATATTTGTGTTGTAAAGTGCTTAAATTATAAAAGTGCTATCACAAGTGACCAAAGGTTCCTTTTATATATTGAGAAAATGTACAAGGGCGACAAGAAATTATAAAAGTTAAAAGCTGGGAGAACCGCAAGGATAGAAAGAGAGTGATCAATGGTCTTCATTTCCAGGCTCTCTGAGCGCGACCTCCCGATCCTTTGGACGATCGTCAGCCTCTGGATCATCCGCCCGATCTTTGGGGATGTTCGACTGGTCATCTTCCGGGGGAGGTTCCTATTGTTCCTGTTGCTTGACCTCTTCAGCCTCAAGCATGAAAACAAGGATGGGTTGGTATTCGTCCAGAAGGTTAGAGATGTCCATCTCCGGTTCCTCTGCCGTAGGCTATAAATGGCTTGTATTGCCCAATGAGCAATCAACCCCTCGAGCTTGAGGTTTTGTCGCCTCATCTGCTCAGTTAGTGAAGCAACTCGCCCTTGAGACAGCTTGAGGTCCGCCTCTATCACCCTCTTTTGCCTCTCAGAGTTCCCCCACAGCTGAGCCTAACTCTCCTCCACCACCTTCGCGCGATCGGTGCTCACCTTCAACTCTTTCTCTCTCTCGCTTAGCTCCTTGGTAAGTCTTGCCACCGTCTATTGGAGCTCCTTGTTGTCCCCATGTCTCTTTTTGAGCTTGGCCTTCTGGAAGTCCGTGGCCCAAAGTGTAGAATCCCTGTCTACCAGGCACTGATCCGCTTGAATGCAAGCCGCTTTAGCTTCTGCGTCTGTGGCCATAAGGTCCTGTTTTAGCATGGCATTCTCCTCATTCAGCTCGTGGAGATTGTCAGCGGAGTCCATATAGATCTTCTGTTGAGCCACGATCAGGGCAAATAGGGACTGCATAGGAAAAAAGAAAAAAGTTAGTTTCCTTTTCTTAAAATCATAAAAAGCTAGAAAGGTTCTCAAAGGGAACATGTCGCTTTACCTAACTATGCAATTGGAGCGCAGTAGCCACCAGGTCGATAGGTCGAGAAGCCACAAACCCCTCAAAGGCCAAGGCAAGCTGGCCTTCAAGCAGAGTGTGCATTACCAGTTGCAATTACTCTGGTAGTTGCCTTAAAGAATCCAGCACGGACGGGTTTGGCCTCGAGGGGACAAGTGCATCCTTGACCCGTTGATTGCCCGCTCTC